TGGGGTTCCCCTGGCCACAACCCCGCGGATTATCGAAGGCCAGGAGCCATTTTGTAGAAACGGTAAGGTGGTTCGGTCTTCTCCTCTGTTGTGCCGGCGGCTTCTTTTTCATTATCGGGGCCGCCTCGGGTATGCATGCCCTTCTTCTTTCGGACCGCCGAAAAATGGAAGCGCCACTTCTGTGATCCAGATGGGTTGAAACCTGGTGAACATTACACCGCAGAGTGAATTTTTAAATTTAGCCGGTCATTCAAGGAGAGGAATTTGCTATACCAAAATGGCGCGGGGAATGTGCAGGCCCCATTGGCGTAATGCAATCCGAAAAAAACTTTTTTACCGGCCCTATGCTGATTTAAAAAAGACATTCAAATCCTCTATATCAGTAATAACTGCATCAAAAGTTATTTAATTTTTTCTTTTTTCTTTTACCAGGGCGGGGGCGGGATGAAACGAGCCATAAAAGGTTCTCTTTTCCAATCATCCCATTCTAATCAACAGTTGAAAAGTGACTTCCGCCGCGAATTCGTTTCCCGACGCTTGCCTTCTCTCTGGGAAGGTTGGATGTGTAGGTTTTCAAAAAAAACCCAATCATTTCCTAAAATATTCATACCAATAAATTGAGGAAAAGAAGGCATCATAAATTTCCAGGCGTAAGAGGCGTCACGTTTCGTTCACAAGCCCTTACAAGAAAAAAAAAAAACACATTATTACAGAAAAAAAAGAAAAAAAAAAAAGAATAAAAACCCACCACAAACTAAACGTATAGAAACCCTTTTATGACCTACGGAAGCTTGGTCATACCACTCGGTGTTCCGAGGAAAAGCGTGTGAAATACATCATTGAAAAAATCTGGGTGGTATTTACAGGCGCGCCGACAATCAGGGCCATAGGTTATTTCTAACAAACTTGGCTCCAGTGTCTTTTGTCCAGACTTAGCGCAGATTGTTTCACGCAACATCGCATCAATACCGTAAATAGCTCGACAACGGCTATGACCAGTATTCTTGAGTCTTACCGCCCCAAGTGCCTCGTTAAGCATTTTTAAAATTTTTGGGTAAACATCAGTTTCCCAAATAGAAGAACCATATCCTTTCGCAGCGTATTCGTTGTTTAATTCTTTAATAAAATCTTTATCATGTAATTGTAGTAATTTTTCTGGATTGGCGTAATTCATTACAGTCCAGTGTTTTTCATAACAGTCAAACCCATCAAGTGCATAATCTTCTAATGCAAAACGCGTCCAGAAAACGTTGTATACATATGCTTCCAAAGGTGTTTCATCTGAAAAGAACGATCGAACAGCCACAATAAATCTTAGATCAAATTTGCGACCACGCAACGTAGCAGTGTTTGCAATATATTTGCAAACCACTTTGGGTCCTGTTTCCATTGCTTTAATTAATGCATCAAGATTAGAAGAAATTGTCATATCAATACTCCGCGCCAAATTTACAGGTTTAGTTATCCATAAATTTGTACCATCTTCATTACGCAAGTGACTCATATGTTCTTGAGAGACTATATTGGTATCATCACCTCCTTGCAACCGCGCTTGTCGTACCATATAATCACCAATAAATTCACGAAGTTGTGAAACCGTGTCATACCCAACTTGATACCAATCTACATATCCCAATGTATTTTGAATAAGTTTTAATAAACCTTGTTTACTTGTAAAAATACGTTCTTCAGGAAATTGTGAGATAAATTTTGCTTTCTGGTAATCATTAGAATCTTCAATAATATCATGCGAAATCCATACCACATCCGCTTCCTCTGGATGATCAACCAATATAAAATTAGACGTATCGGTGAGATTATCAGCAACCAACTCACTATCTGTAAATACACGAAATGGAATTTCAACCTCCGTTTTCACTGATAAAGGCATAGTTTTTTCCTCAGAAGAAAAGTTATTAACATTAACAGAAGTAGTATTTTTTAATATATTCACCAATCGTTGCCATGACTCTACACAGACTTTCTTGGCTTCCACATATGCTTCCTCATTTTTATTTCCATACATAAGTTCCAATGCTTCTTTCCCTCCTGCATTTGCCATTTCTAAAACTGAAACAGCTTTTCGTGTGGCTATTGTACCCTCCTCCATATCCTCAACACACCACATTACAGAAAAGACAGCACCTTTTTCTGGAAAACAAACAGGCATAGGCTCCAATTTCATATTTCCTGTTTCATCTGTCACTATTCGGATAGCACTGCCAACTTCATCATGAATAAACCAGTAACTATCATACTGAGAGTCTCCTGCATCAACTGATGCGGCAAGTCGATAAGAACCAACTTTTTTCCACATATGATCAAAAATAGATTGAACATCCTCTTTTACATTGGTATTAGATAAATTAAGTGAGAGAATATGCCCCAAACGATTTCGAAGCCCTTCATTAGCCTCAAGGTGTTCACGAAACCCACGAAGACGAAAGGTACAGCAATGGTCAACAAGCCAAATATCTTCCTTTGCTCGTAAATCCTTTGTAGAAAGTAAAACATACTCTGTACCATTATTATCACATTCTTTTACTTCTGTTTCTGCCTCTGCATCAGTTTCCCCTTGTGAAACATCAACACTGTCCTCAGAATCTTCATTTGATATCATGGCCAAAGAAAAAGAATCACCGGCGTCGAAAACGTCATCTCGAATTTTTTCAAAAAGTTTATGCTGCAAATGCTCCGGAATATCATGCGCCTTAAACCAACCTTCCAGAATCGCCGAAAAGTTTTTAAACGTATCCATCCAGTCGTAGTTTTTTTTTTTTATTTTCTTTTCTTTTTTGATATAATATAATAAAAATCTCTTTTATTCTTTTCCCCCTTTTTAACCTAACGTTCGCTTGCTTTGTTTAAAGTTTTCTCCCCGCTCAAGTATATATAAATATCTTTTGTAGACTAGAATAATTTGTTAGACGATCTTTTTAATCCTGCAAAAAGTAAAAAAAAAAAGAAAAATAAAGTAACAACAATTAACCCCAACCAATAATAATAACTCTTGCGCTCTTCCTTAAAAGGGAGCCCATATGGAAAAGAAAAAGAAAGAAATTCAATATGGGTAACGAAAAGACATCATCCCCTGCTCCCCCACAAAAAAAAAGCAAAGCAAAGGGGTAATCTTCTACAATAGGAGATAAATTCTTTAAAGCTAAATTTCTTTAAAAGATAAAAAAAAAAAAATTCTTCTACCCCTTTCTCCCTCCCACTCTCTCTCTCTCTTTATTTCTTCTTCACTGTTGCTTTTTTTTTTCTATACAGTCATAAGAAAGGCGGCTACCCCTCCCAAGAGTAGTTTCTCCTGCACTTCTTCATTGCATAAAATATTCAAATCCAAAATATGACTAACTCGTTCCGCATTTGTATAGAGTGGAATTCTGGCTAAGTTTTTAATATTTTGCGCCACTACCCATCCTACTTTTAGATCTGTTTTTAACGCTAGTGAAGATGGAGAACTTGCAGATGCCATTTCCACTTCACCACGTTCATTTAATATAGCTCCCTGCAGTTGAATAGATCCTCCTTTAACTGTAATACCCACTTGAAGATCATGTGTTACCCTACTATCAGGAGAAACCAACAGTGTCAAATCAACAAGTGGTACACCAGCAGTACGTGCTGTAAATATTCTTAACGCGTTAAGAAAAGCTCGTGGTCGTAAAAAGTCTAACAAATCAAAAGGTCCTGCTGACATGGAAAAAGTTATTTTACAATATCCAATCATTGTTACTAATCGATGACGTAATGTTGATAACCATAATGTTGCCTCTCGTGGTCCATCCATAAGTTCAAGCCATCTAAGTGGAACACGACCTCCCATAAGTTCTGTTGCCTCTTCTCTTAACGTTAGTGATGGAATAAGTGTACCATCAATAACAGAACGTAAATTTGTAAAAATATCAGCTACTTCATCAATAATATTGACTAACAAACCCACTTCACTTACAAAGAATACATACATTGGGTCTAGGTCTTTTTCATCTTCAGAAATAACAGGGATATGAGTTTCTACTAAAGATCCATACGCATTCCACATTTCTATTACAGGTCCAAGTAAAGATCTCCAAGTTTCTGTCGTTGTTTTTATTCCAATTTGTGACATATTAGCAAAAGATCTAAGATGTTCTCTTAGTTGAGTGGCCATATGTTCTTTTACCACACGTTCTGCATTGTCTGGTAGACTTAAAATAGAAGGATTATCACTATCAGGGAAATGATCACGAATAAATTGTACAATTTCATTATGAACATTAGTAGATGGAACAAAAATATTTCCATAGAGTTTATTTTTACATGAGGTAAGCATATCATCATTAAATACAAAAGAAATTAATGTCATTAATACTTTCTCATCTGTTTTATTCTCTAATCGTCCACCATAGATACATTCTTGTAATAATCCATGTACAGTTGTCCAATCCATCTTTTCTGAGGAGAGAATACTTAAACTTTCAGCCGCTGATTTTAAATCTGATGATGAAAATTCATAAAATTTTAACCATCCTTGAGGTACATAATTTCTTCTTTCTTGTAAAATAGCATGAAACCATGCTAAACCAAACAATACTTGACATGTTGTTTTCGTTTTATTATTTATAAATGATTCATCCCATATTGTATATGATTGAAGAAGATTTTGTTTTATTCCTGGAGGAGTTTCCACCGTTACTTTCATGGACATTCGAAGTAATACCGTTGGAAAGAGATCATGTGGTTCTGTGGTAATAATAAGACGAAAATCTGGATTTGGAGTTGGCATTGCACTTAATTCCTTCTCAAGTACAGAGGCCCAATCTAATACTAAATGTAAGTTCTTTAAAAAGAGCCAATCTCCTTGAGCTGCACAACGACGAAGATGTAACATGGCATCTTCTGTTTGTCCACCACCTAAAGCAATTTGTACAAAACGTTTTCTTCCTACTAATCGAAATGCAATTTCTTGAACTTCTAAACTTGGATCTGCTCCTCTAGAGGTAATGAGAATAATTGGCATCATAGATTTTCCTTGTCCAAGTATTTCTTCTAATGAAGTAACAGGAACAAGTGTTTCTAGATGTAAAAGGTACATAATAATATGATGAAGAAGATCTGTTAATCTATCTGGTCGGAAAGTATCAATAATAAGTAATTGATCCATTATACTAAAACTTTCATTCTTTACTAAAGTTTCTTCTGGGGCAGATTCACGCATCCAATTAACCCATCGATCTGTATTTTGTAATTCCCACTGTTGCATATGTTTTGACCCAACCTCATCAGAATTAATAGTAATAAGTTTTGTACGGGCTGTCGGTAATGATACCCACGAAGGAATCTTTTCATCACCACTTTTCTTTTCTTCATTCCCCGCATCACTAGAGTTATTATTATTCGTATTATTACTTTTGGCCGCTCCTACCAAAAGATCCCAAAGAGGTTCGGGAAATTTCTCAGGGAAGAGTCCATGAATAAGATGAATACCAAAAAGGAGTCGATCACACTCTAGTAAACCACGACAAACATGGAAAAAACATTTTTGAGCAAAATTTATTGTTAATTCTGATATTTTTTGGTTTACATCTGTTGTTTCTTTATAAGCATCTAAAGATTCAAGAAAAAGACCAACAAAATCATTAAGTCCAAAGTGATACATACGATTTAACTTTTCCATATCCTTTACAAGGAAGAAAATCATAGATCCTTTACTAGCAAAAGGACGATAAACATCACGTTTCTCATCCAATTCCACTTGAAGGGCACGTGATTGCTGTAAAGCTTCTGTAATATTAGAAGCTTGTGTTTTAATATCATTCAGGGCACTAATAAGTGTTGTATTTTCTAATAAATCTCCATGAGAATTGGCAAGATCATTTAATAATCGTACTTCAAGTTTACTCAGTTCTAACTTTAGATTTTCTTCCTTTTTCACCAATTCTACACGTTGTTCTTCAAGTTCTGGACGCTCATGTTGAATAGTCACACCTAATAATTGATTTTCAAGTCCAAATCGGGTAACGGAAAAGTTAACTTCTAATACTAATCCTGCACCACCTGGTGGAAGTAAAAGATCTGTACGACGTGTAAAAAGCATAATACGAAATGTATCTTGCCAATCGACTTGTTTATTACCAACTTGTACAATTCTCTTTGCACCTGCAGATAGTAAATCTTTTCGTAATATAGGGTATAAAATAGGTTCAATACCATCTACATCCATAACGAGAAGGGTTTTACCAAAACGAACAGCAAGTTCTAATGTATGTGCAAAACGTTCATCTTGTACAGATGTAACCTCGGTAATAATATTTTTATTCTTTAAATGTACCTTTACCCATTCAATAGCTTGATTAGCAGGATCAATAATAAGTGGAGTTTGAACAGCATCCAACATTGCAATAGCATTTTCTTGACTAAGATCATCCCCTGGAAGACCTTCACTTTTCCACTCTAGTAAATCACTCTCTGCTCTCATAAATCCTGTTACTGTCTCTACGGAAGTAAAATTAAGACGATTGGACCATTGTTTAAAATATCGTAATCTTATATCTTCTGTTTCTTTTGCAATATAAGTCATAAAAGCAGCTGAAATAATAGCCCGTTTAGGAAGTAAACGATTATTTAATTCAATTTTCTCAATATCTTGAGCCCAACGTGTCTTTTCCGTACTAAGTTTCTCTAATAAATTACAAGCCTTTTCTAATTCCATTTGTGCCTTTTCAAGCGTATCTTTAAGTCTTTCTGCCTCTTTACACTTCTTAGAAAATTCTTTTCGTAATTCTTCCACTGCCTCATCAATACGTTTTAATTTTTTCTTCAATACATGCAACTGTTCTTCTCCTTCTTTTTGATTCTTTTCCAATTGTTGTAATTGTTGACTAAGTGGGGCAATACGTTCTAAAATGGTAGAGTAATCCACCATGGCCTTTACCCAAGCTGCCATAGGTGCCGCCGCAACGGATGCCCGATGAATAACTTCTGGTTTAAAAGATGTGGATTTCTGATTTAATAAACGAGAAACATTTTCACGAATGGCAGGTGTTACTTTCTGCGCATCAAAATCAAGAATTCGTTCTTTCGCCCCCCGTTCGCCAAGGAATTTTCGCATAGATTGCCAAGAAACATCCGTAACTCCAAGTAAAGCTAATACGCCTTCCAGAACATCTCTTACGGGTTCTGGTGGGGCTTTTAAAGATCGAATTTCATTTAATTGTTCACTACGAATAGAATTCACTGCCTCTCGGGCGGCTTCTAATGAAGGTTTAATACCACTAAGTTCATCTTCTACTTTTTGTCGTTTAACAATAATTTCTTCATGTTCATTCTTTAATCGTTCTTGTAATTCAGTGGCACTATCACGTTGTTCTTTGGATTCTTCCATTTTCTTTTGAATTTCTGTTAATGCGTTATCGGCTTCTCGCTGCATGATTTCCACCTGTTCTTTTTTATGTTTCACATCTTTTTGAATCTTTTCTACACTTTCTTCAGCTTCATGTAATTTTGTTAAACCTGCTTGAAGACGTTTAAGATCTATTTCACTATTTTCACTTTTCTTTCGTAATATAGATTCATAGGTTTCCATTAAAATTTGAAATCTACCAGGTGTGGCATCTTTACCAAATCCCTCATGTACAGCAAATAATTCCCGATGAAGATGAAAATTTTTATTACTTGGGTCTTCTTCAATACGTTTGATAATATGATGTAAACGTTTTTTACAAATAGCCCGTGCAGTTTCATTACTCCATGTACCCATCCAAAGTAAATCACAATTACTTAATAATCCAGGATTAGATTGAAGTCTTACTAAAAATAATTCATGTTGATCATCCATACTAAGAACCACACGAAGATTTCGACGTACACGTAATAAAAAGTAAGAATAAATACTTCCAATATATCCTTCACTAGAAGCCTCTTCTCTTAATGGGGTAAACATAGTTTCTAATTCCTCTGGTGAAAATAAACCAGGAATCTCTCCACTACTCACAAGACTATTAATCATTTCAAGAAATCTCTCATCTACAATATTATGTTCATCTAATAAAAGTACTAAATGTTCATTTTGTGTAATAACACGTTGCATAAGTTGTCGTAATTCTTGTCTAAAGTTTTTAATATTATATCCTTGAACCATATTTAATGTCACTACTTCCATACGTAACATATAAGCAGCTAAACAAACAGAATTACGTTTACCCACACCAGGACGACCAACAAGAATAAGACGACCAAATGGACGTGAAAGGACTCGATCTACTCGAGTTAACCATGATAAGGATTCTTGAATAATATGTATATTAAGATGTTTAAATTCACGACTATATCGTACTAAAGCTCTTTCTACTTCTACTGCAATAGTTTCATAAGGAACACCTTTTAATGGTTTAATACCTTTCTTATCTACTTCACTAAACCATGAAACAAACATAATAGGATTAGAATCTTCCTTTGAAGGAGTAGAATAACCAATAGTAGTAAGAGTATCAGAAATAATCTTTTCCGCTCGTCTACGATCTTCTGTACGAGATAAACCATCTGCAAAAGTACAAATAGATTCATATGCTAAAACAGCAGGTAATGTTGTTGTTTGAGTATCCATTGCATACATAAGAAGATTCGTTACACATTTTGTAATACTACGAGGTGTAAATATACAATGTGCCTGTTCTTCTCCTTCAAAACGACGTCTAATTTTATCAAATACAGAAATAACATATTGAGCTAAACCAGCCCCTTTATTATAATCATTTTCTTGACCAATAGATGGACTTTTCAGTAATGCAGAGAAGTAACTTGTATAAATTTGAAGAATACCAGATCTTGAAGGATAGGTCATATATACAATACTTACAATAGAAAGAAGTCGAGGAGTTACTTCATATCTTCCTGCAGATATTGTAGGATCCATACTTGCCACAAATTGAATCTTTTCAATACCTATCCATTCAAGATCACTATTATAAAATCCATTATACATAAATAATTGTAATAAAAAGGCATGAAGTTCTACAGTTCCATACTTATCTGGTTTAGGAAGATTAACATTTTTTAATATCACCACTAATCGTTCACCTTCTTTAGGACGATAAGCATGTCCTGTATTTGTGCTTGCCAATGTACATAACTGTTCTAATTTCTGAATAAGATGTAAAGAAGTGGTTTGGGCACTACAATGAAGAACTGTTGTTCGTACACCTTTAAAATCTTTAACAGATTGTTGAAGAACAATACTTTTTCCACATCCTTCAGGTCCAAGAAGAAAGAGAGGTCTTCCCATTGTATTAGATAAGAGTGGTTTAATAGTAGATAAGAGACGTTGGATATCCGCTGTGTGAATAAGAGCACCACTTTCTACTAAAGTATCAGCTGTAATATTTTCACGTAAATCGGCTGTATGTTCAACTAATCGTTTCTTTTTACGATCGTAATACGTATCTAATGGACGTTTACTAGAGATTGGATTTAAATTACTTTTTTCATACAAAGCGGCTGCAATTTGTTGAGCTCCATTTGGTAATAACATTCCACAAATACCTTGCATAAAAGAAAGTACAAAATCCTCCTCATTCACAGAAGGTAAAACATGCATAAGTGAACATTTTAAAATTCCCATTCGAGTTGTAGAGACTGGAAAGGCTTCTGTCTTTAATGCCTCAAATAAAACAGGAATAATATATTTATTAATAAGTGGAAGAAGAAATTCACGTCTTTCTGGTGTTTCTTTCACAAGGAATGAATGAGATGCCAATTCAAGATCAATATCCCTCTCTGAAAGTAAAATAACACCCATACGAGAAACAGTTGCAGGTGAGGCATAGGTTAAACTATGTGTTTCAAATAAAAAATTAACATTATTCCCAAATTGAATACGAACACCATTAGGAAGTGTTAATAATTTATTATCATCCAATACAGAGTTTAAGGATTCAATCCATTCTGGATCAATATCCCCATCGCAGATAATCCATGGTCTATATTCTCTTGGACACTTCACCACTTCTCTTGCGGCGGCGGAAAGAACACCATCATACCATTCACGTGTATCGGGATCCATATATCCAAGTAACTGTTGCCGCGGCATTGCTTTAGGATTCATCACATGTAAAGGAACTTCAACTCCCAGTGATTGTAACGAACGGCGAAGAATCTGAAAAAGTGTACTTTTCCCACTTCCACTAGGACCAACTAATACCACACCCATTCGTTGTTGTAAAGCTTCATATAATTGCATAACCTTTGCCACTTGTTCTGGAATAAGCGTTAATTGAAGATCTTCTATAGCCTTCTTCACAGCAGTTTCAAGTTCTCCATAACTGATATCATTGGATTTAATATGAGGAAATATACCCATGGTTAAACTTCTAAATACACGTACATCTTCAAAGGCAAGTTTACTAAGCATATTTGTATTAAGGGATTGTAAAATAATTTCTTCTTCTTGTGCTACGGTTATTTCCTTCTCTTTATTATTTAATTTCCACGTTTGCATTAAACTACCTGCTAAACGTAAAACGGCTTTTAGAGAACGTAAACCCCAATCATAATGTTGTTGTCTAGACATTAATTGTCCAGAGAGACGGAAGAGTTCCACAATTTGTTTAGATATACTCTTAGCATGTGTAAACCCTTCTGATAGTAACATGGTAGATGTAATGAGTTCCGCATCTGGAATACTCATTGCCACTTCACGGAATAATTGTTTTAAGTTATCTGGTAATTTTGTTCGTCCACCATATCCTTTTCCTGCAGGGTTAAGAGTAACAAAAATACCAGAATTCCTATTTACCTGAACTGTACGATTTAATAAAGGACATGTACTTTCTCCATTTTTAATGGCTTCTTGAATAATTTGAATCATTTGTGAAATAGCGGAGAGTTGATCAATCTTTAAACGATTAAATTCATCAAAACATCCCCAGGCTCCACATTTTACAATACCTATAAAGATACGACCCATAGCTTTAAAATCAATTCCCTCATCACAGTTAAATACCAATACTTGTCTTCCCATGGCACTTCCAAGAGCTTTCACAGATTCTGTTTTTCCCGTTCCTGCAGGTCCATAGGGATTTCCACCATATCCAAGTTGCATACCTTTTGTTAAGACGAGATAACACTTATCGGTGAGTGGGGTATGAACAAGTTTAGCGGCATTTCCTTGATATTCATATGTATACTCAAAACTGGCATCCATCATTACAACTAAACATTGTTGATTTTCTGAAATATAATAACGTAATTGTTTTTGCCACCACCAAGATTTTACTGTTTTTACTTTTTTCATTTCTAAAAGTTCTACAATTTCAAGTTGATGAATAATATCAAGAATAAGAGCCTTTACTTTTAACATAGTAACCGTATTTGCATCTACAGGGGTTAATGTTAATTGATTAAGGTTTTTCTTTAAGGTTTCCCCTACAGATTGCAGTTGATTGGAAGTAATGGCATTCTCTATGGAAATAGCAAAATGTATTTGTTGGGCTACTTGTAATATCTGCGATGGATACATCTCAATAGTTTCCATAGACATAAGATCTTTTACTTTTACACATTCAAAAAGTAAATCTTGAAGAGTTTCCCGCATACACGCATCTAAGCGTATTAACCATTTTTCCACATCATCTTCTTCTATCGATATATCATTCTTTAATTTTACAGTTTCCTTATCGGCGGAAACCATATGTGTAATGGACTTTTGATCTTCACTAAATAATACAGAATGTATACCCATAAAAAGTTTTTTCAAATGAGTTTGAATAACGGATGGATTTTTACTGTGTCCAAGAATTTCCAACATATCCTCATCACTAATAAAGTAAAAACGAGGAAAACTTTCACGTTTGGTTTCAAGATATTCAATTAACGATTTCTGACATCTCTCAATTTGTTCTAAAATTGTTTTTAATCTATCCACTATATCCGATTGAGAACCAATTGTCATTACACGAGGATCTACTTCTATTTCATGTAAAATAGATACAAATTCCTTATCAACACGTTTAAATCGTGCCTGTTCCTGCGGTAAAGCTCCACGAGCAAAAATAGGTTCTAAATAAGTCCATTTACGTTGAATAGTATTCATTAAGGTAAGAGTTTCATATAAGGTTGCGAGTTTAACTTCCCATCCATTAATTTCATCTGCAAAGTGAGAAAAGAATGGACTATCTTTAAGAGAAAGAATAAGTGCCTGATTCTCACTTACTCCTGTCATGGTTTCTTTCCAATCGGTGATGAGTTTCACCTTTACAGAAGAAGAAGAAGAAGAATTAGTGGAAGTAGTAGTATTATCTGTAGGAGTGATAAGAGTAAAGGTAGATTCTAATGCCCAAACCCGAAGATCTTGTAAGGCATCTCGTATTTGAACTTCTCCTTGTGCTCGTGCGTGAAGATTTTTTAATTCCGGTTCCTTTGTAATGATTTGTTTATAATGATCGATAATATCACCAAATGTCAGTTCAGAACTCTTCATGCCTTTATCAATTTCTAAAAGACGAAACATTTCATTCCAATGTTCCGTCATCATTCCTTCTCCACGTACAAATCGAAGAAGAGGTACACATGTGGTCCATTCCTCTAATAAATTTGAAAGATATTTTATAATAATAAGGCCACTAGAACTCTCTTGAGTTTCTTTTTCACCAGAGGATAATTTCCCTTTCCATTCCGTAATAAAATCATCAAATATATATATATGAGAGCGAAATGTAAGCCAATCTTCTTTACGTAATTCTTCTAAACTTTCCCAGAAGGCATCATATAATTCCCACATCGCGGCTGTTTGCGTCGCATCTTTTATAGTTTCATTTATTTGTTGAAAATTAGGAGGAGGAAGTTTAAAGTATTCACATTTTGATTCTAAATCATTTCCTTGTTTCCTAATATCTTCCAATTCACTATAAAGATCTTTTAATTCCATTAATGCCTTTTTAAAATGATCTAATTTTTTCTCTTCAAAGGCAACAACTAATTGACGTTTTTGCTTTACCCATTTACTTGCAAATCGTTGTCCATCTTTCATATGTTTTTGAATCATCGCATCTAATGAAACCCGCATTTTTGAAACTGAGGCATCTATAATCTTATGATGAGATGCCATCGCCTCCCGTAAATGTTCCCAACGAGATTTCGTCGCTCCTAAATCAATAGAAGTTCCCGATTGTTGTCGTAAAACTTTATTCATTTCTTCTAATTGAGAGAGTTTCGTTTCATACTGAGACATGGTTTCATGAAGTTCATAATATGCCTTATTTGCTTGACCGACTTCATCCATTGTAGTGGGTTGACGTGTAATAACATTAGAAGCATTAAATACAAAAGAATCAATATCTCCAAGCATTCGTTGTAAAGATTTTCGAATAGCATTAATTAATGATTCTTCAAGACGATGTAATTGTTCTTCTATAGTAGCTTTAATGGGAATTGTACTAATCATAAAACAATCAATTTTCATACTATCATCAATAGAATGAAGTTTATTCGTCTGTTCCTTTATAACATTAAACCCTTCTGAGTAATGTTTCATTGTTTTGGCAATAGCTTCTACTAATGTATCCACATCCGGGGCCCCATTCACTCCACAAGCCCCAACTAATACATAAGATCGAAATGCTTTTCGTACACGATTAAGTTTTGCAAAAAGTTCCATTGCTTTCGTATGTACAGTTAAAATACGTTCCTTATTAAATAATGGCATTACCTTATACATTTCATAGGGTCCACCAGACTCTCGTTTAGCCTGAAGACCACGAAATCGTAAAGGAACACCTACAAATTCTCTTAATTTCACATAATAGGCTTCTCGCATAGCTTCAAATGTGGGTTTAAAGTGAACTTGACCTTGTTTAAAGACTAATTCTACTTTAAACTCTTCCATTTTCTCATGAAGAGATTCCAATCCTCGTCTATATTGATACTCCAATACTTTATAGATTTGAGCATCCAAGTGTTCTCGCCATTTCTCACAATGTTCATGACGATGTGTATGGAGAAAGTCTTCAAAGGAACTTCGCATTCCATCCACGGCACTTCTCCATTGATCCATATGCCGAGCTAAATCTACATTATATAAGGCGATGACTTGACTAATAAAATCATAATGAAAACGACGAATCCTACGATTATCATTACTCATAGCATCTACAGCATTTTGAAAACGCATATTTAATCCTTCCAATTCATTATAATTATTGATGGAAATAGAACGAGTATTGGAACCGGTATAAAATAATTGATTACGTGCATGTGTAGAGGCTCCTTCTAACATGGGACGTGTACATTCCATGATTTGTCCTTGAACCATATTATAATTACTAACAATCTGCATTGTACGTGTAGCCGCTTTTACTAATCGTTCACAGGAAGATATCGTTTGTTCCGCCTCTTCACTTAACTGTGAAAAAGAAGAAGAAGATGATTTATTTCCTTCTTGTTCATTATCACCACACCAACTACGAATGGTATGAATTTCTTGCATAAATTGTTTTACACTGGAATGTAATGTACACATCATGTGTTTTTTATCTACAGAGACAATTGTAAAGGCATCGGCAACATCTAATATCTTTTTACACTGTTGTTCCATATTTTGTTTCCATGATGTTAAGACTTCCTGCTCACTTTGTTGAACTTCCTGTAAAATGATTTTGGAAGCTTCCACAACTTTATCAAGTTCCTCTGACATTCCAAATAGTTTTAACGCATTCTCTGTAACTAGTGCACATTCCGTTTGACAACTTTTTGAAATACGTAATAAATGTAATTCATTTGTTGTCCGTCGTCTATTATTTTCATACCTTCCTCGTATTTGTTCTAATTGTTGAATAAGAAAATCTGCAATAGCGACTAAATCTTTTTGTATTCCATTTCGAATCCCATCACGACGAAGTAAGGCTTGATGTTGTTGTAATAAACGAATGGAACTTTCCATTCCCTGTTGTTGTTGTTGTTGTTGTTGAAGACTAAATAATTGTTTCACTCGACCACGTAAATTATCTTCTAGAAAAGAAAACTCCTTCTCAAACTTTGCCATACACTCTGCCCACTGTTCTTCAGAGGTAATTTTATTATCTGTAAGACTTTGGCCTTCAAAGAGAACTTCTGGTGTGATGGAATCCTGTAGTTTTACTTGCATAATCTTTGAGGCACTTTCTAATAATTGTCGAATACGAATCACATCTCTTAATCTTGCAGCAAACCTTTCAAGTATTTCATCATGAAATTTACCCCCATCCCAGTTTTTCCACTCTTCTTTTAATAAAAGACGAACCATCGTATTCCATTCCTTTATAAGAGAAAGTGATTTTTCAAGATGATCCAAATTCATACGCCATGGTCCTTGCCAATCTGAACTCTCCATTAATATTTGACTCTTAATATACTCTCGTAAATCACCAGAGACAATAGAGAGAAGTGAAATAGCATTTACCTTTGTTCGCTCATTATGTGGATTACGATTCCAGTAGGAATGAAGTGCCTTATGTACAATCTTAAGTACTTCTGTTGCCTCTGGTAAAGTAAAGGATTTATAACGCCATTGCGAAGGTAATTCACTTTCAATAGGAGCTGTAGAATAGGAAGATATCGCATTTGCCAAAACACGAAGATCAATCCAAACTTTTATTAATGGTCCTTCATGTGAAAATCCTTGTGTGGTAGATAATGATCCTGCCAGAAAGGATGCATTTTCAATTCCCAATTCCACTCTTTCCGGCATCAATTCCTCTTCCGTACTAGAGAAAACCCGCATACAAATAGATTTTCCCATCAAAACATCCAATCTCACCCCAGTTGGACACATCGCCTTTGGAAAGTGCGTTACCAGTAAAGCCCCTTCCTTCATATCAGAGACCACATCTTTATATAAAACCTCCAGCATGTGTTGGAGATTCAACAGAGAAGACGGGGAATCCAAAGAGTCGGGCATCGTGTCAAGATCCGCCACATCCGCCATAAATTTTCCAAATGGAATAGTGTGCGCCTTCAGTGAAGTGAAGTCCGTCTCGTGTTCCTCACCGGCGAGGCGAAGACTTGTGCGGCCCGTCACTTCCCGCACCATCGCCGTGCAGAGTCGCTGCACTTCATTTCCCCATCGTTCCTCCTCTTCTTTTTCTTTTTCTCCACCGCCTTGTTGTTGAGATTGTTGTTGAGATTGAGATTGTTGTTCAGTGGGGGGAAACTCAAATAAGACGCAGTCATCGCCGCGAGTGATTTGAGAGGCGCCGAAGAGGACCTGCAGGTGTCGCTGGGCCACACTAAATAAAAGGGACTCCACCGCCACCAACCCTGCCCTCTGCATTCTCTCAAACCTTTTTTTTTTTCTTTTTGTTTGTTTTTTTTTTTCTTTTTCTTTTTCTTCTTCTTTGTTGTTGTTGTTGACTATCTTGAAGGTAGTATTGGAAATCTTCTCTTCTCAGTGTACTTCTTTTTTTCTTTTTCTTTCTTTTTTTTCTTTTCTTTGTACTCTTCTTTCTCTCTCTCTTTTCGTGTGTTTACTTGTTTGTATTCTTCTCTTTCCTTTCTTTTTTTCTTTTGCTTGTTTTGATCCCTGTGTTGTATATGTGTGTATGTGTGCTTCTTCTTTCTTTTTTCTTTTCCTTTTCTTTTTTTTTCTTTGATTACACCACCGCGTCTTCTCTCCGTATCCGTAAGAGAAGGCAGTCGATCGTCAAAAAATGTATTTGTTATGCACCGCTACTTCCTCCAACCGTTAAGAGAAAAAAAGAAAAGAAAAAGAGGTAATGGAATAGAAACAATAGCGATAATCAAGAAAATAATAATAATAATAATAATAATAATAATAATAATAATATAAGAGTCATCCATCATGAAATTGATGCAAAGGGGAATAATTGATAGATAAAGAAAGAAAGAAAAAGAAATACATGCCCGTGCGTAATTGAAGGAATTATCTATATATATATATTTATATTCATATATTTCTTGTGGTTCATCTCCACACAAAGGCACTGTTGCAATGTATACACGAACGGAAAAAAAACAGAAAAACAAAAAAAAAAGGTGCTGGTGGGGAGAAAACAAAGAAGAAACAATAGGAGAAATCGGAACAATCATACACACAAAAACAAAGAAAAAAAAAACTATAATAATAACAACAAGAAGAATATAAAAAAAAAAAGGAAATGAAATGTTTGTATACCATGTATACCGTATGCATTTCTCCTCCAGTGTACTGAATCTATTTTAAAACTGGTCTCCAAAGAAATACCATTTCCATTTCTCTTCCTCTTTTTTCTTTTTCCCTTTTCTTTTTTCTTCTCTTTATTTCTTCTTCTTTTTATTTCTTTTTTTTTCCAAATCTTTTCTTCTTCTTCTACTTCTTCTTTATTCATTTCTAACTAGGAGAGCGATCGTCTGTGCTTTGAAGAAGCAAACTGATCAATCCCTTTTCCTGCCCAACCCGACGAAGCCACTCAATAAACATAGTATGCACCTTTCCACGCAATTCATCCGCTAAATCTTTTCGCCCCTCCGCCTCTAATCGCTGATAGGCATCATGCAATTGTTTTGATGTCTCTTGAAAGCGCCGCACACGTCTCTCTAATGCCTCGGCGTACACACGCGGTAGTGGACAGGGATTTGTGCGGGTTGTCACCACCGCACTTGTCTGTGGAGCTACTGGAAAACACAATGGTGTGAACTCATCCGGGGGAAGAACATACTGGGTGGAGGGAAGTCCAACATTCCATAGATTTAGTTTAGGATTAACACCGGAACTGGCTAAATGTTCCTCTAAGGTGGAGTAGTGGGAATTATAAGGGGCAAAGCGAACATTTTCTAATGTATTGGCCCCCTCATGTAAACAAAGCACAGGAGGAGTATTGGTGCAAATAAATATTGTAATATTTCTACATCGACTCACCACAACTGCAGCACATAAAGCAGAAATGGTGCTGTTTTCACAACGATCAATGCATAAAATACCACCAACTGGACCTAATGCCACTGTACAATTTACAAGTTGAGAAAGACGTGTATGTGGTAAATCAGATGTAATATAAAAGCTAGATTGTGCACATTTTTCAATAGTATAGCTAGAAGAAGCTATGGTTTTCATACTATTGCTTGGCATAACTGGATATGGTGGAATATATATAGTTCCACGTAAACCTTTTACAATAACGTTATTACTAAATGGTGAAGATGTCGTACTAGCAGAGAGTTCACTAGCTAGTACTATTCTAGGACGTATAAATTGAGATAAAATGGTGATATCAATAGTCCTCTCTGATCGTGGCCAGAGAAAACTGATACTCGTACCAAATGGCTGTTCAACACCATTTACAAACTCACGAAGAAGAATTCGAAGTTCCTGTGCATCTGCTATAGTTAGACGACCAGGACGAGTAATCGCTACAGCAGAAATATAATCATGTAAATGTTGCCGTACACTACTCATCACATGTTCTTGACTAATATCGCCTAACATGGGTCGTGGTGGGTGTTCCAGAATAAGTTGTGCCAGAAGAAAGATTGTCAGTGCTGGTAAACTTACCTGTCGAGAAGCGGAGGCAACAGGCCAACGAGATTCATCTACAGTTCCTCCCATCTTCTTAAGAAGTGCACGATTTCCATCTTGACGACACTCTGCTAACGATTTATTATTTGTTGTACTTCCATTTACATAGGAAGAGGCCTGTAAACAACTACCCGTTAAGGCATACACCACATCAAATACAGAATACGCCACGGACTCCCGCATGCCAATCACATTCACCGCAATATCCGTCCACATGGCTAATGAGATGGCTGTACTGTTGGGAGATTCCTGTCGTAATTTCATAATCGCAGATGTTGTCAGTCCACTTGGGGTATCCAGTAGAATACCGCAGTTTTGGAAAAGCACCGGGTTTACACAGAAGACCACCTGATTGCTGCTAAGCAGAGAAGTGGCGGAGGCAATATCACCATATCGACCATCGTTCTCACTGTAATATGGACTGGAGGAGTACTTGACAGACATGCGGAAATAGTACTCCTTTTTTTTTTTTTTTT